TCCAAAGATGTTTCATCTCTATGTTGTTGATTCAGATTCAGTCTCTGGGAATGGAAGGTAGAACATACATATTTTTTCTTAAAAAAAGAAAATAAAATATCCCTCTAATTTTATTTTATAGATATAAAGTATAATAAAAATAACATAATTTCACTAGCTGGAGTAACCATTCTGTTGACATTTGTATATTTTAATTTATTTCTGTTATACATACATGCCTTATTAAATTTGAATAAGATGTTTATCCAGTATTATATTTTTCTTTCACTTCTGTTATTTTTTCTTGCTCATTTTCTGATAGTACATTTTTTGTTACACATAATGTTTAATAACTTGCTAACATTTTATTATAAATATATCATGATTTAAAAAAGATATTTCCCCTTTTTCTTATCACATATATTGTTTCTAAATTTCCCAGTTAACAAAGGAAGTACATTACCTTGTAAAAGACAATGAACATACTTTAGGCATTTGATGTAAATTTCTGAAATGTTCTCTAAAAGGATTTTACATGTACTCCAAAAGTGTATGAAAGTTTCTGTCTCCATGTATTTTCTTCAATAGCAGGACTTATTAAATACATTTTTTGTTACTTTGAGGCATTAATGAAAATACTGCTTTTAAAAATACTTTTAAAATATGTATTTATTTGATTTTGATCTTTTCCATCTATTTATTGACTATATTTTTCTGTGTGTGAATTATCTGTACATGTCTTGAATTTTTTCTGTTGTGATGTAATTTTATTTCATTGACTCATAAGAATTCTTTACCTATTAAGTTTGACACATAAAATTGTTTTCATAAATCAAAACTAGTTGAATATCAATAACAATATGGTTCAACTTAAAATTATGCATTTTATATTGGTTGCCAGTATTTCCCCAATTTGTCTTGTTCTTACTATGTTATTTTCTTAAGCATATTAAGAAGTTTAAAATTTTTATGTGGTTTAATTTCTGTTGCTCTTTTGCAGCAAAAATTCTTCCCATCCCAAAGAAAGATAAATATTTTTGTAGTTTCATATTTTTAGATTTAACTTTTAAAATCCACTTGAAATTTTATTTTAATGTATTGTTAAGGCAGGGATCTGTTTATTGAATGATGAAACAATTACTTTCAGATTTCCTGAGCAAAACTCTATTGTTTAATTTCATGCCCTATTGCTAAAATCACAAAATAATTATGTGTCCTAACATCTTTGGCCTTAGTTCTTCAAAAATTACATTATTCTGGTGACTTGAATTAGCTGATGTGCTTCAAGAACCAGTAATGATTCAGAGGTTTTCATTTTGTCAGTGTTAATTATGCCTTTAAAATACTAGATTTAGTTGATGGTTTTGTGTAGCATAAAATTCCATTATTCATAGAATCTTTCCAATTAACCTACAGAGGAAATATTAAGTAAAGTGTTCAGTAAGTAATATTTAAAAATATTAATTGTGTTTTCCTTTTCCTCTTTATACTTACTCAATTTGAACTATAGAAACAATACATACTTATTTATAATGCATTTTAAGATTTTTCTTTTGTATAATGATGCCCAGCGATATCACTTTTTTATAAAGTAGCATTATAGACTTTAGTCAATCTCTGTTCGTTACAGGTGTTTTAGTCAGAAATACCACTGATTTATTCTGGAGTTTTTAGAGCTTGTCTTGGTTTTACTGTGGAATTACAAGTGTAATGGTAAATTAATTCATCTATAGTCTAAAATTGTATTAATTGATCTAAATTATATGTAGTGGTTCTGATATCATTGGTAAGGAAAAAGTAAATTGCTTAAGTTCTGTAATTAATCTCTGACCATCAACACAATCTGGCGATGTTAGGTAAGTTCTCTTAGTGAGAGAAGACACTGGATCCTCTCTTTTTATTATAGATAGCAGTGAAAAATGCTTTATGAGTGTGAAGAAATGCATGTATCCCCCATTGTCCACTCTTCCTATATGAATTTAGGAACTTAATAGGTTCAGATTTTTTTTAAAGTGATTTTAGTGTCTAAACTTATGACAGGTATTTGCAGAAGGGAACAGTGGAACAAGACTGATTTAATAATAAGTGATTGAATTCACAAACCAAATAAATTTGGATGGGAAGGCCTACCGGTGTTGGGTCAGGCTCTTTTTTACACGGTGGATTACTTAAATGCTGAGGATAAAATAAAAATGGCTGCTTGAATTCCAAGAATTGATGATTCTCACATTTTCTGAGAAGGCAGCCAAAAATGAGCCCTTAGTGCCCTTGGCTTTACTGAGGACTCACTATGTTCCTAGACCATACTGGGCTTGTGGGGAAGGGAGGATAGGCTCAAGTCACCTCCCAGGGAAGGCGAGTGGGGGAAGAGGGCTGCTCGGGGCTGGAAGTTAGGATTCCCACAGCCACTAGGTGGCTTCAGTTGCCTGCAGAGAATGGTTCAGGTGCAGAGATTCTATGGGGTTGCTTTTCAAGGTTATTTTACGAAAATGATTTCATTTTAGGAGTATCGTTTTCTAAGGTAGATGACAGAACCAATTCATACAACCTAGTGAGTGTTGAGGATTACCTAACCCCACCTTCTCGTTGTAGAGAAAAGGTCCATTTAGGAAGCATTCTTCAAGTTGACTCACCTCTGTAGGGACAGCGTAGGACCTAGAACTCAAATCCCGTGACTCCTAACTCGTCTAGTTCTTTAGCTGTTGGATCAGTGATATTAATCTATTTTTTATTTCTCTGAAACCACACCACAAGATATGGTATTTAGGACTTGTAGAAGGTGTATGATGTGCATAAGGCAGGTAGTAAAGTAGATGCTGATGGCCACCTTATCAGAAGAATTGAACAATGATAGTACTTACTCTGAACCCAGTTGAGTTCTTAGATTAATGAGGTGACTACTTCCCATGAACAGAGTTGGGGATTAAAAAAAATCATTATTGAGTCTGAATAAGGTTATATTTTTAACATACCTTAACTGTTATATACCCTATCTCCTTTTCTCTTCTTTAGAGGCAAAACTTACTTGCCTTCTTTCATTTCAATTTTTTTTAATTATTTTTGATTGGTGTATAAGCACTAGAACATAATTAGAATCTTTATTTTTCTTCTTTCTTTTCTCCTCTCTCTCCCTCCTTTCCTTCCATATTTTGGTCTGGGGCTGGAGCCAGGAGCCAGGAGCCAGGAACACAATCCAGGTCTCCCACGTGGGTTGCAGTTACCCAATTACTTGGGCTATCACTTCTGCCTCCCAGGATCTGCAATGACAGAAACTATAGGCAGGAACTAGAGTAGGGAATTGGACCCAGGCACATATATTAGATATGGGTGTCTTAACTGCTGAGTTAAATGCTCACTCCTCTTTCTTTTCTATTCTTTTTTTAATCAAAGGTCCTTACAGATGCCATAACAAACAGAAATCAATAAATACATTATGTATCAATTCAAAATAACCAGTGACAACTTTGAATTTCTTTTCTAGGAGAGCTAGGGAGGAAGCAAACACAGGATTTATCTGTGCTGCTTCTTTTAGCAAGTTCAGAAAAAAATACAACTTGTATATTTTTAAGTTCTAAGACTTCTACAGTTTGTACATTATAGCTAGTTTTTTGAATAAAAACAGGTGAATGAGGGAGCCTAAGAGAAGGAAGAGTGAAAGAATTAGTCTATTTTGTGGAGCTGTAACATAAGGTCAGAGGTTGGGTAATTTATTATTTTTTTCTTATTTTTTTCAAGATTTACTTATTTATTTTGAAAGTCAGAGTTACACACAGAGAGAAGGAGAGGCAAAAAAGAGAGGTCTTCCATCTGCTGATTCACTCCCCCAGTTGCCCACAATGGCCAGAACTGGGCCGATCTGAAGCCAAAAGCCAGGAGCTTCCTCTGGGTCTCCCACATGGGCGCAGGGGCCCAAGGACTTGGGCCATCAAATGCTGCTTTCCCAGGCCATAGCAGAGAGCTGGATGGAAAGTGGAACAGCTGGGGCATGAACTGGTGCCCATATGGGATGTTGGCACTGCAGGCGGCTCCACCCACTATGCCATGGTGCTGGCCCCGAGATTGGGTAATTTATAAAGAAAAATTTACTTGTCTTATAATTCTGGAAGGTTGGAGAGTTCATGAAGGGACTACATATGTTGAAGGTCTCTTTGCTATGTCATCCCATGGCAAAAGATGGAAAGGCAAGAGAGTGCCTGTGTCAAAAAGAGAGGGAGAGATTGAATTCACAGCCTTGAACTCTTTTATAATTGACATTAATCCATTCATGAGTTCAGAGCCCTCATGGACTGATCATATCTTAAAGTTTCTACCTCCTAACACTTGTTACATTGGGAATGAAGAGATAATGAGGCAGAGAAGAGTGGTGGAGAAGGAGCTCAAAGAGTGAGACAATGATTACTAATGAGAGAGACATGTTGGACAGAACAAACCAGTTGCTTGCCTAAGTAGGAGAGTTCGTGACAGAAGTCATGGTGAGTGGGCTGGAGAAAGTGGTCAAATAGGAATCCCAGGGTAGATACAGGGAAAATATGCATGGGCACACGCTTTGTTCAGTGCTTCCCATAACTCCTCCACTAGCTGTCCTATTTTGGATCATTCTGTCTTGTCCCGCTTCATCCTTGGTCTTCAGCCAGTCAGCAGCTCAGCTCCATCTCTGGATCCATCCAACTTCACAAACGGTGTTCACCTGCTGATTATTCCATGAAGTGTAGTGGAAGTAAGGATTAAAAGCATTGCTGGAGAGCAGCACTTACCATGTAGTTAGGGCCTCCAAAATGTTGGCTATGATAATAATCAAAATTTTTTTCCTCCTGAAATGCACCTTAAGATTGAGAATACTTCTTAAATATAAGTGATATTTGTATAAATGTATTTGTATTAAATTTCTGAAGTAAAATTTTAGAAATAGATACATAACTTTTTTCTTAATGATATGTTGAAGCCAAATTGGATTAAAATGTGATTTGTCAAGACTGAATCCACTGAAATTATTATGTCTCATTTTCTCTTCCTTTTTACAGTGATTTAAAGGGAGTGATAGTCACTCTGAGTGATGATGGTCATTTGCAGTGTTCATACTTGGGGACAGACCCTTCTCTGTTCCAAGCTCCAAAAGTTGAATCTAGAGAACTAAACTATGATGAACTTGACGTAGAGTTGAAAGAACTTCAAAAAATCATCAAAGATGTTAACAAATCACAAGGTATCTGATTTTCAGCCTATTATTTAATTTTGGAATTCATTGCAAAATTCACTTTATCTTTTATTTAGGTGTTTTGTAAGTATTAGTTAATTTTCTCCCCCAGGCTTAAAGTCATATTTGTAAAAGCATTGTCACTCCTTAGTATACAAGATCTTTGTGTTCACTTTGCATATTATAGCTTCTGGAAAACATCTCCTATATAAGGTAATTCTTTTTTCTGGGTGTGTTTTAGGGAGAACATTATCTCATTTTTTCCTTTAAATCCTAAGAAAGGAAGAACTATTTCTTTGGTTAGTGGTTTTAGGCCTTGAGAAGAACATTAAAGTTTAGAGTGGTCACTTATTAACTTTTAATAACCCTGAAAAAATTTCAGTTGCTTCTTTTAGAAGAAACTAAAGCAGTATATGAGTTACTACTTTATAACTAGAAATGTAGTCATTTACAGCTTAGCGATGTAATTTATGTTTGCAGTTAATTAGCCGTCCAAATGGAGGGTAGCCTGTGGTATGCTGATTTCTAATGACTCAGAGGTTGATGATATTTTCAGTTCCTGAGTTTTGAATAACTCAATATTATCTTACTTTGGGACTCACAAGGGTATAATTTTATTATGAATTAAAAGGAGAAACAAAACACCGATCCTGCAGCTTGAATTGGACATGTGAAAGGCATTACTTGAAGTTCCCTTTTCAGGTCAGGTAAAAGTATTTTTTTAATGAGAAAAAATATGGAGTATTTTCACATAAAAGAAATGTTAAAACAAGTAGAAATAATAAAAGAAGCAGAGCATCAAAAGCCAATGAAAACAACAGGACCAATCTTAATCCTGATTTGATCACTTTGTGAGATTTATGTATTTTTGAGTCTGTGTTACCAAGATTATATTCCTCTGGTTCTAAGGAACTGAGATTATATATTTTAAAAATATGAACATTAAAATGAAATTATTATGCTTTGGCTTCACAGGTTCTTTTAGAAAGTTTTGAAAGTAAGCCAGTTAAACTCAGGTCTTTTAAGTACCTCCAATTATTTAAGAATCTGTTTGTTGTCAGCACCCCTGTGTCAAATAGCGAGTGGTTAAAATTAGATGTGGCATATTGCAATATACAAATTATTTTCCATTTTTGATACTAGTACTTTTCGGATTAATGGAATTTTAAGTCTCATTTTATCATTTAAAAATGTAATTGGGGAAGAGCAGCAGATAAATGAAACATCAAATTTCCAGGGTCTTTAAGTAATATGGCTTTTGGCTCCAAATTTTGTGTCTTGAGACTTTCTCCATTCTATTTGCAATATCTTAGTAATAGTTTTATTAGCGTTAGTGTATGAAGTTTCTCAGAAAATCCCTGAACACCGAAATTTATTTCTTCCTGGCCACCATGATGCCTTTGGTTGAGAAGGTTTGCTAGTCATTACCTTGATCCTTCTGTTTGTCTTGAAATAACTGCTAATTAAGCTAAAGATGTACTCACAGAGTTGGGTGTGAAGTTCATGATTTATATATCTCAACTCTAAGATAATGTTGGAATTCCCAGATTCTTTTCTGCCACCATCATTTGGTTTAATTCCTGGTGATGGGCAAAGAAACTTTAAAAAAAGAGGCTTTTAAAGTATTTTACTTCTAGATATGAAAAATAGCAGTCTGTTTACTCTTATAAAATCATGGTATGTTTGTTTATTAAAATACCTGTAATTATATAAAAGTACCAAATTATTTCATTATAGAAAATTATGAGAACTTAAAAACTCTGAACTTTTTGATGACCTTGTTATTCATTTAAATGTCATTTACTTTAGTACAGTGATCTTAATTTGCCAGAAAATTCACAGTCTTAAGGGTTATGGGCAATACTTAGAGCTTTAAATTTTTTTTTCAAAGAACAAGTTGCAGCATAATTTAAAGCCAATTGAAAGAGTACATTTTGTTGTACACATGGTGTGTATTATCTACTGTAATAAAAGTGTTTTTGAAGCTGATTTTATGTGTGTAAGTTATATGAGGAATGTATGTTGTATGCTTGAAATTATAGTAATAATTTCTGTATGGCTCATGGATTCTGAAGCCTTTCCTACTCAACTCATTAGTGTGAATTCTCCCTAGCATTTTTCTAACCATGGTCAACAACATCTATTGGTAAGAACTTTAAAAAAAAGGAGTTTCCTTGTGATGTAGACAGTTGCTCACTCTCTACCTGGGGTGAGTGTGAAGCACTGGATACTGCATTAAAATAGGTGTCCACATAGTTGTGTCTTCAAAAAGGGAGCAAGAGCAGTAAGCAGAGGCATATGAATGAAAGTCTGTCCCTTATTTGAAACATGTCTGCTAACTAAGTTGATGCTACCGGTGAATACTAAAAATGTTTGTCTTTGGTGATTTTGTTCTGCATATAACAGAGTTTACAAATAAAACAATTTCAACAAGGTAGAAGTTTTTCTCTTGTACGAGAAACCCACTGATGGACAGTCCAGGGTTGGCTTGGCAGTCCCGCAGTCGTCAGGGATTCCAGTTTCTTCTATCCCAGGGTCATCTCTTTGTCCAGGATGGCTTCTGGAACTTCTGCCCTCACATCTGCGGCTGAGTCAGCCCCCTTAAGGAGGTTTCCTGGAAGCTACACCCTGAACAGCTCCTCCTTACATCTCACTGACCGCTCCAAGCTGCAAAACAGGCTGGGAAATTAAGTGTTTTGCTGAGTACTTTATTGCTCAGAATAAAACTGGGCTTCTTTCAGTAACAAAGAATTGAAGAATGGTTATTGGTTGGGTAATGAGCAGCTTTTTGTATTCTTCTTAGGTTTTGGAAATTCCCATACCAAATCTTGCAGTATTGGTGGGAATGCCTGCAGGCAATTGTAGGCAATTATTCTTCTTGTGAGACAGCTGATCCATGTGTCATCTTCCAAGTGCTGTCTGAGTTTTCAGGCAGCGATTCTCAGCATGTGGAGGCTATTTCCTCAGCAGTTCTAGGCATTATGCATTATGTGCAGATAGGACTTCCAGGGAAGAATGAGCTATTTCTCCTGAGCCTACCTCTTTCTTTGGGAAAAATAACTTTTCCAGAAGCATGTGCCAGCACTCCCCACTCCCAACTTCCCTTACCACCCATCTGCTGGGACTGAGTCCCACGTTCATGCCTACAACAACAAATGGTCGTGGAATGAAATCACTGTGACTGGATTTGACCCTGAGGCTTGGGAGAGGTAACCGTCTCTGACATGAAGGTGAATACCTCGACCAAGTTAGAGCAGCGCTGCAAAGGCTTCTAAAATGGGATGTTGGGTAGGCAGCAAAGAGCCCATGTCTTACCACTTACATTTCTTATTTATTCAGGGTCTCTGTCAATTATTCATAATATCTCATTATGTAATACAAACATGTTTCCACTTATTTTGGGGGCCAGTACTGTGGCACAGCCAGTTAAACTGAGGCCTGCAGTGCTGGCATCCCATATGGGCTCTGGTTCGAGACCGGCTGCTGCATTTATGATCCAGCTCCCTGCTAATGCACCTGGGAAGGCAGTGGAGGATGGTCCAAGTCGTTGGGCCCCTGCTCCCATGTAGGAGATCCAGAGGAAGGTTTTGGCTCCCGGCTTCTGCCTGGTCCAGCCCTGATTATTTCAGACATTGGGAGTAAAACTGACAAAGAAGAACTCTCTCGCTATCTCTCCTCTCTCTATAACTCTGCCTTCAAAAAAAAAAAAAAAATTCAAACAGTACTCGAAGGGTAAATGATGAAAGATATGAAAAATTAGTCTCCTGTCATCCCCAGATTCTAGTTCTACTCCTTAAAGGTAATCCTTATCAAAGGTTTTGTGTTTTTCAAGACAATATTCAGGTTTTTTTTTTTTTTCTCTTCTTTTCTTTTGACAGGCAGAGTGGACAGTGAGAGAGAGAGACAGAGAGAGAAAGGTCTTCCTTTGCCGTTGGTTCACCCTCCAATGGCCGCCGCTGCAGCCGGCGCACCGCGCTGATCCTGGCAGGAGCCAGGAGCCAGGTGCTTTTCCTGGTCTCCCATGGGGTGCAGGGCCCAAGCACCTGGGCCATCCTCCACTGCACTCCCTGGCCATAGCAGAGAGCTGGCCTGGAAGAGGGGCAACCGGGACAGAATCCGGCGCCCCAACCGGGACTAGAACCCGGTGTGCCGGCGCCGCAAGGTGGAGGATTAGCCTATTGAGCCACGGCGCCGGCCCAATATTCAGTTTTATCTATTTGTTTTTATATAAATATGTACATGTGAGTTACATTGTCTACTTCTTTCTTTTTAAGTATTAATAGGTATTTTTGGCATTTAATAGTAAATAGATTGACAGTATTATTATTTGCAGTTTTGGAACATTGCACAGTATGAACATACAGTATTTTATTTAACTATTCTGTTCTTTTCATTTAAAAAGAACTATGAACTATGAAGAACCTCCTTGGACATATCTATGAATACCAGATAAATTCTTGGGGGTAGAATTGTTAAGTTATAAAATATGAATTTTTAAAAAATATGTGTTTATTTATTTGAAAGACCGAGTGACAGAGAGAAAGAGATCTTTCATTGTTGGTTCACTCCCAGAATGCTCTCACTGGCTGGGGCTGTGCCTCTCTGAGGCTGGGTGCTGTGTACTCAGTCTAGGTCTCCCACTTGAGTGGAAGGAACCCAGTTGTTTGAGTCATTACTACTGTTTTCCAAAGTTTGCATTAGCAGGAAGCTGTAGTCAGGAACTGGAACTGAGGATCGAACCCAGGTACTATGATGTGGGACATGGCCATCTTAACAACTAGGCTAAACCCACACGCACCCCAAACATTTTGATAGTTATAGCCAACGTTCCTTCAAACGAATTGTACTATTTTAACCATCTCCTAAAGTGGTTAAGGAGAGGGTATTGAAATTCCCAATGCTAGTCAGTCAGTGGCCCACATCTTAGCTAATGTCTGTATAAAGAGATATTTTTTCATCACAATATTGTAGAGGAAAAGAAATAGCATCAAGCTTCTAATCAAGTCATGTGTTAGTTTTTCAACTTGTGAGTAAACTTATAGAGTTATTTTTTATGTATAGATAAATCTTTAAAGGAAAACTCTATACAACAGATTCTAATTTATTATTTCTTTAAGGTACAGCTCTTTGGCCCATGACTGAGAGAGAAGATGACTTGAAAGTTTCTGCCACGGTTTCTCCTAGTTTTGATTCAGTGTCGGTAGGTGAATTTTCAGATTTTAAAGAGTCTGATGATAGTGGTAATTGGGAAAAATCAGTTGGTTTACATTTTGGATCTTCAAATAGAAACTTCAGGGAGGACAACAAATTTTAGGCATTATTACTTTCTAGGTGAAAACATTTCTAGTCTCTTGGTGTCACTAAGGAACTTCTTAGGCAGGATTTCTGTTCAAAAAGGAGGAATTGGGAGCAATGCAGTAGAATCCTTGTTCTGGATCGATCTTTTTTTTTTTTAACTTCCTCATATGCTTAGTATTGAGAATATCCAAATCCAGATGAGCAGTACTGACTGTACAAGATTTTTGTTGATGATTCTGAGAGATAATGGTGAATAGTACAGCTCAGTGTTTGATGATTTATACTCTTGAATACATCATCAGTGGTGGTCTAGGACAGTTTAAAAGTAGGTGGTTGGTCCTGGAGTTGTTCTCCTCTCCACTTCTGTGATGTATCTGTGTGATCCAAAGCAAGGGATCTTAGTATAAACAGCCAGTCCAAACTGTGATTAAAATCACGTCAATATTGCTATAGTAGAGTGAATTAGGTACTCTTTACACTTGATCTTAGCCAAAAGTCCAAGAAATGATTGGGTACACTTGAAAAAAGCAGTTTATGTGAAAGGAACATCCACTCAGCTGAGTCACATAGTGGAGGCACTGACTGAAACATTGGCCTTTCAGCACTCACCATTTCTCACTCTACCTGGAGGGTGGTATGGGAGCGGAATGTTTCTGCTTAGTTGGCTGATAGATGTACGGCATTCTCTTGCTGTTCAAATGATTCTCTCTTTATGTTCTCCAAAAATTGCTGTCCTGGAGTATTTAGGTATTTAGACAGGATTGAAAAGACCAGGAAGCAGGAGAGGTTGGGTTCTCTTCTAATCAGTAGATAGCTAAATGTAAAACATTTCTTGGATTTTAGGTAGTACTGTACTAGAGCAAAAAGCTTAGATTAATAATTTACTTTGTTTTTATTTTATTTTATTTTATTTTTTTGACAGGCAGAGTGGACAGTGAGAGAGAGAGAGACAGAGAGAAAGGTCTTCCTTTGCCGTTGGTTCACCCTCCAATGGCCGTCGTGGCCGGCGCGCCGCGCTGATCCGATGGCAGGAGCCAGGTACTTCTCCTGGTCTCCCATGGGGTGCAGGGCCCAAGCACCTGGGCCATCCTCCACTGCACTCCCTGGCCACAGCAGAGAGCTGGCCTGGAAGAGGGGCAACCGGGACAGAATCCGGCGCCCCAACCAGGACTAGAACCCGGTGTGCCGGCGCTGCAAGGCGGAGGATTAGCCCAGTGAGTTGCGGCACCGGCCTGTTTTTATTTTTTTAAAGATTTATTTATTTATTTATTTATTTGAAAGTCAGAGTTACACATAGAGAGGAGAGGCAGAGAGAGGGAAAGAGAGAGAGAGATCTTCCATCCGATGGTTCACTCCCAGGTTGGCCACAACAGCCAGAGCTGTGCTGATCTGAAGCCAGGAGCCAGGAACTTCTTCTGGTCTCCCACGTTGGGGCAGGGGCCCAAGGACTTGGACCATCTTTTACTGCTATCCCAGGCCATAGCAGAGAGCTGGAACAGAAGAGGAGCAGCCAGGACCAGAACCGGCACCCATATGGGATGCAGGCGCTTCAGGCCAGGGCATTAATCCGCTGCGCCACAGCGCCAGCCCCGATAATTTACTTTGAATCATTACTATAAAAGGACTCATATATAAAAAAAGAATTTCTGTTAGAATAGAGTCTTTTATAGGGTAGATGAACATTGCTGTCCCATCTTTCTCATGAGAAACTGGATCCGAATTTGATATGGTTTTCTCTGGCCATAACTAGAAGATGATACGAACAACTGTTAATTCTGCTGATGCCCATTCACCATTTTGTGACCCCTGTTGCTTAGAAGTGGCTTAATTTTTCTTAGTTAAAGATTTTTTCAAATAAGAAAACTGATGGAGATGATTCACTGGTTGGAAAAAGACATTGTGATCTTAATTGTTCTCTGGGAATTCATACTTATGTGTTTATGTTAGAAGATGTTGCCTCTTGGTTTTATTATAGAGTTAGTATTTTTTCCTCTTAATGTACCACTCTAAAAACTAAGTTATAAGGAAATGTTTCCTTTATTCTATTATACTATGAATTCTTTACAAGATAGGACCACGTAACTCAAGCTAATGCTTAGAGTGCCTATTGAATTAGTTTATGACATGTGCTAGTACAAAAAGGACACTCCCACTTTTATTTTCTAGTAAAGCCACACAATCCCCGTGTCATTAGTTACACATCTAATATGCATGATGCTCATCAGACTAAAACATACCTTTGACAAGTTGAAAATGCAGGAACCTGTAGGAATGGCATAGTGTTTATCTGGGTAATTCAAGGTGGTCTTCTTTTATATAATATAAAGAGCAAGTTAATAGAATGAATACTTTCCACATTTAAGTAACTTTTGAAATGGTATGTTTGAATTAACTCATGACTGTCCAGTTGAAGCATTTTCATCTGATTCTTCTCGGAGTCTTCTCGGAGTCCTCAGAGCGGCAAATCCTTTAGAGTTAGTTCTCTAAGTTCTGTAGTTAGTTCTGTAGCTTCACTATGATGGTGGGTAGTAAGTAGTGTACCCCGTGTGTTTAATCACCTGTTCTCTTCTCAATTTGGTGTTTACAGCAAGCCACTGATGCTGAAGTGGGAACTGACCTTGTCCCTTCTGTCACAGTGAAGGTACTGTACCAGGTTGTAGACTGTAATGTGCATACAATTATTACCCGTTTCATCACACCTGTCACTGTTGCTACCTTGTAAGTAGCTTAAGGAAATGTAAAATAAAGACCTAAAGTTTTTAGGTTTTTCTCAGTCTTGGGAAACTGCATTGTTACCTGCAAACACAAAACTGATGTCATTTAGGTGCAAGTACAGTGTGGTCAAGGTTTACTTTCAATCTTTGCCAAGCAAATTGATAGGAATTATATACTATGAAAGTTTTGATGATTGTGTGACTATTTAAAAAATTTTGGGGCTATTTTAAAATTTATATGCGTGAAGTTGAACTTATTTTCATGTGATTATTGCTTATAGCCTTTGCCTATTTTCCTGCTAGACTATGGTCTTTTTCTTTGTTGAACTTTTTATTTAGTTCAGCCAAATAAGCTTTTGACTATAATGTAAAACAAAAATATGTTATTGGGCCAGTGTTGTAGCGCAATGGGTTAAGCCACCACCCTGCTGTGCCTGCATCCCATATGGGTGTGAGTTAGAGCCCTGGCTGCTATGCTTCCCACCCAGCTCGCTACTAATGTGCCTGAGAAAGTAGCAAAATATGACCCAAATGCTTGGGACCCTGGCAACACTGAAGGAGGCACAGATGAAGCTTATGGCTCCTCACTTCATTCTGGCCCAGCCCCCACTGATGCAGCCATTTGGGGAATGAATCAATGAATCAGTGGGTAGAAGATTCTGTCTCTCTCTTTCTCTCTCTCCATTTCTAACCCTCTTTTCAAATAAATAAATTTTTAAAAAAAGTTACCTCAAAAAATAATAAATATTTTAATTTTAAAATAAAAACAAAAGAAATAATGAGAATGAAAATAAAAGCCTGGTGGGGCCAGCACTATGGCTCAGTGGGCTAAGTCTCCACCTGTAACGTTGGCATCCTGTATGGGTGCCAGTTTGTATCCTGGCTGCTCCTCTTCCCATCCAGCTCTCTATTATGGCCTGGGAAAGCAGTAGAAGATGGCCCTAGTCCTTGGGCCCCTGTATACACCATGGAGACCCAGAAGAAGCTACTGGCTTCTGGCTTCTGGCTTTGGATCGGCTCAGCTCTGGCTGTTGTGGCCATCTGGGAAGTGAACCAGCAGATAGAAGACCTTTCTCTCTGTTTCTCCCCCTCTCTGTAACTGTATAAAATTGTATGTATTTATAGGGTGCTGCATAATGTTTTGGTAGAGGTATACATTGTGTAATTTCCAATCACTGTAAATAGAGCTATCTTTTCAAATGTTTAATATTTCTTAATGGTGGAAATAGCCAAAACTCTATCTTCTAGGTTTTTTTTTTTTTAATAGAGAATTAAATAGTACATTGGGGCCAGCGCTGTGGTGTAGCAGGTAAAGCTGCCACCTGCAGTGCTGGCATCCTATATGGGTGCCTGTTTGGATCCCAGCTGCTCCACTTCCAATCCAGCTCTCTGCTATATCCTAGGAAAGCAGTAGAAGATGGCCCAAGTCCTTGGGCCTCTGCACCTGTGTGGGAGATCCTGAAGAAGCTCTTGCCTCCTGGTTTCAGATCAGCACAGCTCCAGCTGTTGCAGCCATTTGGGAATTGAACCAGTGGATGGAAGACCTCTCTGTCTCTCTCTCTCTTCTCTCTCTGCCTCTGCCTCTCTTTAATTCTGCCTTTCAAATAAATAAATAAATAAATAAACTTTTTTTTTTTTTAAAGAGTACATTAACATTATCTGTAGTCACCTTACTATGCAATAGAAACCCAGAACTTCTTACGGTACTTTTTTTTCTAGAAATAAAATCAGCATTTTAAGTCTGCCGAAGAATGTGTCAGTATCACTGATAATAAACCAACCAGTTGGTTGTAGCATCATACATTGTATGTTGTGAAATGATATTGGAGAAACACAAGAATGCTAATAATATTTTCTTGTGTATATGATTATGTGTGTGTTTGTAAAGAGCACACAGTTGCTAGCCATTTATTTGCCATAGCATTAGCTTTAAATATATGTAGTTGTATCAAGAAAATACTAAATGAAGAAGCCACAAAGTAGAATACTGACAAATTGATAGTCTTGGAAAAATAGAATATGACGGATGTGGTTTTGGTTAAGATTTTTAGTCTTGTCATTGTAGGATTTGGGAACCAGAACTCAAATGTAGAACTCTCCTAAGGCGTTTAGATTGAAGTGTGGTAATCAGTCAGCACATTATTAAGCTGAAAATATTTATCACTGCCCAAACCTTGGAAGCCAGGAAAGTTGTGGGTTTTGGCGATTGACTTAGTAAAAACTTGGACGAGCCATTCTGTTTTTTTAGATTAGGGGTTGCTGTCCTTGGAGGAGCTTGACAGGGCACCAGGCTTTACCAATTGTGTTCGCTTACACTGGACCCAGTGGGGGACCCAAGTGTGGAACGCTTTGGTCCAAGCTGAAGGCAGCCCAATCTTATAGCTGTTTCCTAAGCTAATTGTTTTGGATTCCTGCCACTGGAAACAAGGGTGGTCTTTCCCCTGTTCAGTCAAAGACTCTATCTCATTAATACTTTTGAGTTTGGTAAGGCGTTCGTGGCAAGAAATCAAACACTTAGGGGGAAAATAAACCCAAGAGCATGTAGTTCCAGGAGTGATCCACAGTTTTGTGTAGGGGAACCCTCTTTTATACTTCTCTATTGATAGTGTTCAGACACATACACATCACGAATCAGGAGTACTCTGTACATTACAAAAAGGAATCTACCCAAACCAGGTAACATTGCTCATGTTCTGTTTTCCCCCAATCAACTAAAACTTACTGCTGTAAATAAACATACCTTTCCCATCTGTTCAGTTCTTAGGCTTTCATGTACTACTTTAAAATGATGGTATGACACTTCTGGAAACTTCTCCATGAGGAGAATTTACTATGTTTGAGAATGCGGAAGTCACAACTCTTTTTTTCAATGCCATTACAAAAGCATGAGAAAGAATGTAACACAAGAGTTGCAGAAAATTGGCTGGACTCAAGTGGTAGACACAATGACATCCTGATCCTGTCTAACAGTTTCTATACAAATTTCTGCCATAAATCTCTCCTTATAGCCTTTTATAACAACATCAGCCAAGATATATAATCATGAAAGTTTCCATCATAATAAATCCTGTTAATTGAGTAAATTTTTCCATCCGTTCCAAATGAATGAAGATGTGGCTACCTTGAGTGTGTGTGCGTGATGCGTGACCATCTATTCCAGGCAACCAGGCAGAATGGTGTTCATACCTGGCCTTTGGAATCATATTTATATACCTAGGATAAAAATTTGATATTATATTTTCCAAAGATTATATTTCATTTCATTAGACGTAGAAAATAACATGGAAAATTCTTGTATTAACATTTTATATTTTCTTCTTAATGTTCTATAATTATTTTCCTCCTAAAATATGAGGTTTATGATCTAGCCAAGTCTTTAACTTTTTTTTTTTTTTGGCTCAAATACAACTCTTCTTTGTTACTGTAGTTATTTTTGTCACACACCTCCTTGACTTGTTTTTTTTTTTAAGATTTTATTTATTTATTTGAGAGGCAGAGTTATAGACAGAGAAAGGTAGAGAGAGAAAGATCTTCCATCCATTGATTCACTCCCCAAATGGCCACAACAGCCAGAGCTGCGCCAATCCAAAGGCAGGAGCCAGGAGCTTCTTCCAGGTCTCTGACTCAGGTGCAGGGGCCATCATCATCAGCTGCTTTCCCAGGACGTAAGCAGGGAACTGGATCAGAAGAGGACCAGCCAGGACACGAATAGGTGCCCATATAGGATGCTGGCGCTGTAGGCAGAGGCTTAGCACACTATGCCACAGCACTGGCCCCTTGACTTGGGTTTTAAAAGTGCCTAGCCCATTGTTGCAGTTCAGTAAGTTTGTGCATGAAAGCTATCATGATGTACCTCTAAGTCTCATGCAAAGCCTTCTTGTAGCAATGTAAAATTGTGTGATGTTGTCTGAGTAGACAGCATTATGCTGGGAAGAGTCAGAATGTCTACCCTTTTACAAATGGCTTATGGCTACTTTAACAGATTCCCATTTTCACTTTTAAAAAAGTGAGCCTCGGCCGGCGCCGCGGCTCACTAGGCTAATCCTCCGCCTAGCGGCGCCGGCACACCGGGTTCTAGTCCCGGTCGGGGCGCCGGATTCTGTCCCGGTTGCCCCTCTTCCAGGCCAGCCCTCTGCTGTGGCCAGGGAGTGCAGTGGAGGATGGCCCAAGTGCTTGGGCCCTGCACCCGCATGGGAGACCAGGAGGAAGCACCTGGCTCCTGGCTTCAGATCAGCGCGCCGGCTGTAGTGGCCATTTGGGGGATGAACCAACAGAAGGAAGACCTTTCTCTCTGTCTCTCTCTCTAACTCTGCTTGTCAAAAAAAAAAAAAAAAAAAAAAAAAGTGAGCCTCTTACGAGATGTTCCTGATCGCAACTTTTAGGCTCCCTAGCACTTACTGGACTGATGCTTTTAGGGATGTGGTTTAATTTCTCTGAACCACCATTTTTAAACTGTAAAATGTGTGTTGTTATTCATTAGCAAAGTTATTTTTGAAATTTGGCCACAATTGGGTACAGGTCTGAGTTCTGGATCCTGACAGACGGCATTTAAATTGTGGTTCTTCCGCTTACATCAGAGTGACCTTGGATGAGTGTGGAGCCTGTCTGAGGCTCTGTTCTCTTTCTGGAAGGGGATGTGTGCGGGTACCTGTTTCACACCGTTGTGATGAGTGGCCGAGGTAGCGTCCTCCAGCGATTTAGCAGCATGATTCCACCAACAGTTATTATTATCGTTACTATTAGTTTTATTTAAAACTGTACATATAGACTAACATTGTATTATTTTCAGAAGTAAAATACTTAAAGTATGTCCTCTTTTAGTGAACTAGCTATTTAGAAAGATTGTCTGTGGCACTTCCCTTGTTTCTGATTACCGTCATCACCATCAGACTTTTTCCAAAAAGTTATTATGTTGTTTAGAATGGTCAGACATCACTGAGGAAGTTTTCTTTGTGACATGCCAATTCCTATATGTATTTCCAGGGTTTACAAACAAAAACCAAGTTTTCATGTTCATTTGCTCTGTTATATTAGTTTGATTCATAGTTGTCTTTTGTTTTTGAAAATTTTTTTATTTATTTGAAAGTTAGAGTTACAGAGAGAGAGGGAAACACACACTCACACACACACACACACACAGAGACAGGGAGAGAGATTGAGCTTCCATACACTGATTCACTCCCCAGATGGCTGCGTCAGTCGGGGCTGGGCCAGGCCAAAGCCAGGAGCCAGGAGCTTCTTTTAGGTCTCCCTTGTAGGTTGCTGGAGCCCAAGTACTAGGGCCATCTTCTACTATTTTTTCAGGCTGTTAGCAGGGAGTTGGATCGGGACTCAAACTGCCACCCATATGGGATGCTGGCACTGCAGGCAGAGGCTTTACCCTCTCCACCACAGCGCTGGGCCCTACCCCAGAGTTCTTAGCTATTGATTCCTCTGGAGTAGGAGAATTTTCTTAGCATCACTGAGGACGAGCACCCTTTTAGAAACGCAGCTACCTGAGAAATGCAGAAGTTAATATTGTTCTTTGATATTTCTAGAATTATTTACATCGTGTATCTTTGTGTTAAACCATGGAGGAAAATGCAGTGGCTTACAACATGTAGACTGATATGCATATATGCCTAGTAAAGAAATCATAGGAGAACAATTAACTTGTAAAAAAAGGGAATCCCTATGGATACTGGATAAGAGGATGCTGTCGGCGCCGCCATAGCTCAATAGGCTAATCCTCTACCTGTGGCGCCGGCAAACTGGGTTGTAGTCCTGGTCGGGGCGCCGGATTCTTTCCCAGTTGCCCCTCTTCCAGGCCAGCTCTCTGCTGTGGCCCGGGAGTGCAGTGGAGGATGGCCCAAGTGCTTGGGCTCTGCACCCCATGGGAGACCAGGAGAAGCACCTGGTTCCTGGATTCGGATCAGCGTGATGCAATGGCCGCAGCGCGCCAGCTGTGGCGGCCATTGGAGGGTGAACCAACGGCAAAGGAAGACCTTTCTCTCTCTCTCTCTGTCTAACTCTGCCTGTCAAAAACAAAAACAAAAACAAAACACAAAAAACCCATCAAGAGGATGCTGTAGTCATACATGTTAAGAATGAACAAATTTGTTTTATGATGTAATTATTCAGTGTCCCTGAGCAAAGTTTTTTTTTTTTCTTTTGGTAGAATATTTTTATCAGGCTTATTGAGATAAAATTCACATATCATATAATTCACTCATTTAAAGTGTTATGATTAAATGATTTCTGAGATAAAATTCACATACCTTATAATTCACTCATTTAAAGTGTATGATGAAATGATTTTTAGTGTAATCACAGAATTGTGCAGCCATCACCACCATCTAATTTTAGGACATTTTGTCTGCCGTACCTATTAATTGTCATTTCCTCTTCCTCATCCTTAAGCAATTTCTAATCTACTTTCCCTATCAATTTGCCTATTGTATACTTTGCATAGAGATAGAATCGAATATGTACATTTATTTCTTCTTTCACTTAGTTCTCAATAGTCACCTATATTGTAGCATACACCAATACTTTATTTGTTTTTACTGCTGAATAATGTTTCATTGTATGCATATACCATATTTTGGGTCTCCATTTGTGCTGGACTTTTGGATTGTTTCTAATTTTAGCAACTATGGATGATGTTTCTGTGAACACTTGTGTACGAATTTTTGAGCAATGTATTTTTTCATTTCTCTTGTCACAGAATTATGAGATCTTGTAAATTTGCATTTAATTTTTTAAAGAATATAATAAATTTTTTTTAAGATTTATTTATTTATTTGAAAGTCAGTTACACACAGAGAAAAGGAGAGGCAGAGAGAGAGAGAGAAAGAGAGGTCTTCCATCCGCTGGTTCACTCCCCAATTGGCCGCAACTGCTGGAGCTGTGCCGATCCAAAGCCAGGAGTCAGGAGCTTCCTCTGGGTCTCCCATGTGGGTGCAGGGGCACAAGCACTTGGGCCATCTTCTACTGCTTTCCCAGGCCACAGCAGAGAGCTGGATCAAAAGTGGAGCAGCCGGGACTCAGTCTGGCGCCCATATGGGATGCCTGCAGTTCAGCCAGCCCCTATTTTGCTTTCCTACTAGCAATGCATGAAGGTTGCAGTTCCTCTAGATCTTTGCTGACATCTGTGATCATCTGTGCTTGTGATTATAACCATTTTCGTGGGTGTGGAGTCATATCTTCACTTGATTTTAGTTTGTATGGCCTATGGCTAATTGGGCATCTTTACATATGTTTATTGCCCATCTTTATGTCTTCCATAGAGAAAATTTCAGCTCTTTTGCCCAGTTTCTACCTGGGTATAACATTTTAATCTCTTATTTTTGGTGTATGTTGTGTTTTGTGATTACTTATATTTTCTTGGGTAATATTTCCTTATTGTTTGCTAGTAATTTTCAAAAAATGATGTTCAAAAATATTTATTTTTATTTATTTGCAAGGGGGAAGGAGAGAACGAGCGAGCGAGTGAGCTAGCTATCTTCCATTCTCTGGTTCAGGACAGGCCTCCCTGAGGGCTGTTACTGGCACTCAGTCCTGTTCCCAAGAACTCGAGCCATCACTGCCGTCTCCCAGGGAAACTGGAATTGAAAGTGAAGCTGAGACTCAGACCTAGGCACTTCAAAATGGGATGCCAGCATCCCAAGTAGCATTTTCACCATTGTGCCAAACTCCAACCTCACTAGAGAATTTTAAATACCTACTTTTGATAGTCTATGAATCTGGATAAAATACTATTTTCTGTTTAACTCTTTCTGTATCCTTAGGTCACACTGCAAAATCGAACGGTATTGCAAAAAGTCAAATTATCTATCTATGTGCAACCACCACTAGTACTGACTCGTGATCAGTTCACTTTTGAATTTAAAAGTAAGTGTGTGCATGTGTGTTTGTGTGTATCTATGTATTTGTATTTGTATGTGTGTGTGTCTCTGTGTGTTTCCGACTTGTCTACCATGATGTGAAAGGTTTCTTGTTTTGTTTTACTTTTTAAAAAATAGTGTGTTTACTTTGTGTTTATACTTCTTGTGTCAATAGTGGGGTTAAGATCTTCAAATTAATTATTGTTTTGTTTTGCTTTATTTCCTCTCTAAATATCAAGCCTGCACATCCTAGCAATGATTGTTGAGTTGAATTAATATTTCAGGGTTACAGATTTCTAAGTACTTTCTATAACTGCTTAGACCTGAAATTGTACTCAATACCATATTTTGGAAGACTTTCTTTTTTTTTTTTTTTTTTTGACAGGCAGAGTGGACAGTGAGAGAGAGAGACAGAGAGAAAGGTCTTCCTTTGCCGTTGGTTCACCCTCCAATGGCCGCCGCTGCAGCCGGCGCACCGCGCTGATCCGATGGCAGGAGCCAGGATCCAGGTGCTTTTCCTGGTCTCCCATGGGGTGCAGGGCCCAAGCACCTGGGCCATCCTCCACTGCACTCCCTGGCCATAGCAGAGAGCTGGCATGGAAGAGGGGCAACCGGGACAGAATCCGGCGCCCCGACCGGGACTAGAACCCGGTGTGCCGGCGCCGCAAGGTGGAGGATTAGCCTATTGAGCCACGGCGCCGGCTGGAAGACTTTCTTTACTTATGTTTCTTTAGTGATCTATTTATTGAATCAGTAATGTTTGAAGAAAGAATATTGGCTTTGTAACTTGACCCAAGTTTGAATCCTGGCTCTGACACTCATTTGATGTGTGTATAAGCTTGGTGTAACTACTATGGTAATCATTTGAAGCCTCAGTTATTTTAATATGCAAAAAGGGATTAATATCAATCTTAAGGGTTGTTGTGAGGATTTAATTAGAAAATGAATTAATATAAGCTATCCAAAGTAATATCTAAAATATTAGACAAGTCATAAATGGCAACTTTTAGTAAGACGTTTTTGTATAGACTCTCTGACACTCAACCCATTACTTCCAGGTTGTCATTAGGCCTCTTAAGATGATGTTCGAGTTATCTTTCAAGACTTTCTCTTTTTTTATTTAGTAAAGCCTTGAGGTAAGGCTCGTATATCAATATATCAATTAATGAAATCAAGAGCTTTTTTTTTTTTTTTTTGACAGGCAGAGTGGACAGTGAGAGAGAGAGAGACAGAGAGAAAGGTCTTCCTTTTGCCGTTGGTTCACCCTCCAATGGCAGCCGCGGTTGGCGCGCTGCGGCCGGCGCACTGCACTGATCCGATGGCAGGAGCCAGGTACTTCTCCTGGTCTCCCATGGGGTGCAGGGCCCAAGCACTTGGGCCATCCTCCACTGCACTCCTTGGCCACAGCAGAGAGCTGGCCTGGAAGAGGGGCAACCGGGATAGAATCCGGTGCCCCGACCGGGACTAGAACCCGGTGTGCTGGCGCCGCAAGGCGGAGGATTAGCCTAGTGAGCCATGGTGCTGGCGAAATCAAGAGCTTTTTTACCTCTGTATAATCAACCTTTTGCTGAGTGTCTGGGAGATAGTGAGAACTCAAATGAATATTCATTGAATAATGAATGTATGGACATACCCTTGTAGGTGATATTCAGCCTTTAGATTCTCAATTTTTTTCTGATTTTTTATATTTCCAATTTATCATTCTAAAATACACCTGAAACATTTAAGTTTTTCAATTAAACATCTCTGTGGCCTTCTAACACAGATTGGAGGCCAAGTACATTAATGCAGAAGGAAATTCACAGCCTGCCTAGTCCTTGCATTTATCACAGTTATATCCGTTGCCACTCCTCTTCTCTAGTTGCCACTGCAGGCTGTTCCTTGTCGTGTTGTAATGGTTGAATACCCCTTTCTCTGTTCATGCAGCCTGTTTGTCTTGGTAAAGAGAAGCAGTGGTGTGAAACGTTCTGGAGTCACGCCTTAGCCCTAAAACTGTTTGTGGCCATGGCAAAGCTTCTTACTCTCTGTACTTCATTCATTAAAGATGGGGACAGTTATGCTACCTATCTTGTAGGGTTGCTGGGAAGATTACATATAAAGTAGTAAAGATAGTACCTGGTGTGTAGTGAGTGCTTAGTAAATTTTCAGTGCTGTTAATAACCATTTCCCCAAAGTGCATACTTTATAATACTTGTACTTTGCTTGTAGCCCCAGAGATGACTAGCACAGTGGCCTTTTCTGTTTATCTGAAAAGAAGTTATATGCCATCTACATTGGACGGAAATGCTGTTGTTTCTTACTCGAGACCAACAGGTAAATGTATAGTTGTTCACAAGCCTAGTCTAATCATTCCTTTAAGTTATTACTATTATAATAATTATGAGTTAAATACTGTTGTGTTTAAGATGGGAAAACATATTATAAAGTATATTTAAACAAAAACATTTTCCTTTTTACTATTAAACTGAATTATGTGTCTAATTTTATATTTTGTAAGTAATTAATGAGTATTTAGCTGATATACATATATAATGTGTGGTTCCTTCTTTTTGGTGAAATCTGGTATATTTTTATTTCCACTTGAAGTATTTTATCTAGTCAGACTTCACTTATTTTTTTTTTTAAGATTTATTTATTTATTTGAAAGTCAGAGTTACAGAGAGAGAGAGAAAGGTCTTCTATCTGCTGGTTCACTCCAGATAGCCATAATGGCTGGAGCTGCGCTGATCTGAAGCCAGGAGCCAGGATCCTCTTCCAGGCGGGTTCAGGGACCCAAAGACTTCCATTTTCTACTGCTTTCCCAGCCCATAGCAGAGAGCTGGATCTTACGTGGCGTAGCTGGGACCTGAACCGGCATCCATATGGGATGCCGGCACTGCAGGTGGCGGCTTTGCCTGCTATGCCACGGCACCAGCCCCATCAGACTTCATTTATTTGAACTAAAGAAAATTCTAGCCTGAATTGATAAACAAAAGAATATTATCACAGTAATTGCAATATTACAGTGGGATTACTCTAACATTAAGTGGTATTCAGAGTTTTAGACCTATTTAAGTGACTAAATAAAATGCTTTAGTATCTTATTTGTTAAAATGCTTAAGAACATATCTGTTAAAATTTGGTCTGTATTTTTTCAAGAAGCTTTAAAAAAATGTTCTGGGACTGGTGCTATGGTGTAGCAGGTCAAGCCGCCATCTGCAGTGCCGGCATCCCATATGGGCACTGGTTTAAGTCCTGGCTGCTCCACTTCCAATCCAGCTCTGTGCTATGGCCTGGAATAGCAGTAGAAGATGGCCCAAGTGCTTGGGCCCCTGCACCTGTGTGGAAAACCTAGAAGAGGCTCCTGGCTTCAGATCGGTGCAGCTCCTGCCGTTTCAGCCAACTGGGGAGTGAACCAGTGGATGGAAGACCTCTCTCTCTCTCTGCTTCTCTCTCTGTAACTCCGACTTTCAAATAAATAAATACTTTTTTTAAAAAAGGTCTAAAAGGTTGTCTCATTCTAGGTGAGATTCCAATATACTTTTTTCCCCCTGTAGTGAATTCTTCATTTTGACAATTTGACAGTCAGTTGATTGCTAAGAAAGAAGATTTAGTGGTAATTTAATTTCTTTCCTTTAAAATTTTAAATATTAAGGATAGTAGAGTATTTCATCAATATCAAATTTGGGTTTTCAAAAATATTTCTGTACAGTTTTCTTGGTTTCAGAAGTTTAAAAAGTGCTTTATTCCTATTTTTTTCTACCATTTATGCCTAGTGGCTTAATTGGCAATTTTTTTTATCCAAGTGAATTTTCTATCTTATTTATTGATGTCTCTATACTCTGATATATGACTTTTATGACTTCACTGTTTATTCCTTCTTGATTTTTAAGTTATTTTGCTTTAAAATGTATTTTTTTAGTCAGAATTGACTACTTTAGTTGTCTATCATATTTTCAAAACTTGAAGTTATGTAAATATTTTTATGTTTAAATGGCTTTGAAAAAGCTGGTTTCATAAACAAGTGAAAACTTCACAAAGGATTTTAGGAGTAATGGACTTTTTGGTTGTATATTTCTGAAAAGAACATTAGGATTTTCACTGTGATTTTGAGTTGGGAAATATAGTAGTGAGAAGTAATTGGTAAGATACCTCAGTCATTTAGCATTAATTATGTATCTCAATAACCTTGGGCCTTATAGTACCTTACTTGTTATTCTGTTGAGTATAAAGTTTTAAAGACTGCTGATGCCATAAGTAATTGTCTCATTGATTTTCAAGGAAAAATAGTGACAGTTTTTGGAAAGAGTCTTAAAATAGAAAAGTGGGTAACATAAAGTGGAGAAAATGCTTAAAAATAGACAAAAAGTTAAAGTTGTAAGAACAGTGTGTGAGCTTATTATTGCACATGCCATTTTGACAATTATGTTTTTCTTTAGAATTTAAAAATTATTGTTAAATCAGGGAGCATAGGTAATAATTGGTTGAAAGTATATTAAAGGCTAACATTAAAAAGCTTATAAAATAAAGGCATACTAAGATCAAACCAAATAAAAAACAAACAAAAAGAAAAAATTTGGCTTAAAATATTATTATGAATTTTATGTTTCATGCAGGTTTTTTTTCTTTGGATGCTTTCAATGTCATTTACATATGAGTCATGTTGGCTGGATCATGTACCCTTACTTTATTTTTCTTTTTGGTACATTAGTTTAAATGTTTCAGTTTAGAAATATAACTCTCTCAAGGAGTGAGAATGGGAGTACAAATATATTGTTAGATTTTGTTAATTCATGTTATACATTTCAATTTTGACTTACTTTACTTGTCTTTTATTAGAGGGCTATTTAAGCCACCTGTGGGAATTTTGAAAATTTTCAGCATATGTGTGTTAAATTTTGTTGTAAGTTTGCCATAGATAATTTGTTGCATTCTTTCTCCCCTACTCTTTTTTCATTGCCTCTGATGAATAGATCGAAATCCTGATGGTGAGTGAAAATATAATTTAGGAAAAAGAACAAGTTTTAGAACTGTGGTTGTTTAACTGTTATACTATGAATAAATTTTTTGCATTGACTGTTATTTTAACTTAAGAAACATCTTTAGTATAAAAGTGACTTGACCCTGATATGGAGAGCACAATAGATATTTGCCTAGATAATTGTCATTATTAGTTATTTCAGTCATGAGAAAGAGTGAAGTTCGGAATAAGAACAGAATTGAGTTTTTTGAAATACATCACAGGTGTCACTGGCAGTTTATTTCTGTAAGTCATTTGATATTTACCTGCATGCCCTGCTATTTTAATTTGCTTAAAATACAGAAAGAATAATAGGTGCTTGTTATGGAATTCTATATTGTCTGTTTTATTAAGTTGGTGTGCTCTACCATACCCATCCCTCTCTCTCTGATAAGAATGCTGGGTGCGCTGACTCTGTGCGACTATTTGTTGTCTTGTTGGGAAGCTGCAGGGGATCCTCATCTGAGATCTGACCCCCTTGAACTTGCTTGAGTCAGTGTTAATTGTTACATATTTTGTTTTCTGCAAATCCTTTGTTTATTACTTTGCTATGATACTTACTGTTTGAGTTTCATGACATTTGTTCCTTAGGCTTTCCTAGTACATTTTCAGCTCTTTGAGGGTAGGGATCAAGTACTTGTCTTTGAATTGTGTAATGTCAGCCACATAGGGGGCACTGAAAGCATCTCTTACTTTGATTGTTTTTCCTTGTAGATGTAGACTTCATATTGTGCTTTATCCTTATGAAGACAAATTTTAGAAAGCAATTGATTAATAATAGTTAAATAAACATCATTAAAAAGTTTAAAAATACAGTATTTACTCAAGACAGTTTTGTTGATGCCAACAACCTGAGTTGCCAAGCACGTATCACTATAATATCTGGAAGGTGGATATGTATTTATGACAAATGTTTAAAACAGAAGTAAATGTTTACTTTAATATCATAAAGTGCACCTGTCTAGCTGGAATTTGGGTAATTAAAAACTAACCTACTGAGGCAGACTTTTAGCATAGCAATTAGGATCCACTAGTTAAGATGCCTGCGTTCCGTATCAGGGTGCTTGGGCTCCTGACCACCTCTTGCTGCTGTTGCAGACCCTGGAAGGCAGTGGTGATGACACAAGTAACTGGGCTCCTGCCACCCACATTGGAGACCTGGATTGAATTCCTGGCTCCCAGCTGTATTGTGGACATTTGGGGATTAAAGCAGTGGATAAGATGCTCTCTCTTTCTGTGGCTCCTGGCCTCTCATATTAAAAAAAATAAAAAAATATCCTGTTATTAATGGTGAATACTTACATTTTCATTTACAAGATTATGTATTAACTAATAAAATTGTGGACTAAAGTTTTTAAAGCATTGTATTATTATTTAAATAAGTTTTAATTTAAAAAATGCTGAAGAGTATTGCTGAAATAAACGTATTCCCTCTTAATGTAAATTCAGCAGAAGCCATGAGGAAAGAAAAAAAATCACAGTTTATGGAAATTCTAGTTCAATAGAAAGGTAAAGCTGGTTTTATAATATTTTCTGATATGTTTTAAAATCATAATTAAACTTTAGGGACTAGAGTTAATGTATTCAGCTGCACTAGTAGGCAAGAAAATAACATGTTACCACTGGGGTCTTGCATACAAGGCTTCCTATTTCAAAGACTGATCCCTTTTATTGTACTGATCTGTTCAGGCTGTGTTGCAGATAAGCAGTTCTGCTTTTACATGTGGAAAAAGAGAAGCAGCAGGAGGTTTTATGTTGTCCCATAAGAATTAGTCTCCATTATTTCTGCATTAAAGTTCCATGACATGGGCAGTGTAAAACATGACTGCACATGAAGCACAGTACGGGGCCAGACATAACAGGAAGGGATCAAGGAAGTCCTGGCTACCAGACCTTGCTACTGCTTTGGGCCTCCTTGTTTTCAATATGAAATGACTCTAGCAGGCCCCTGGAAAGAGTTCTAAAGGCATTACAGAGATGTGATACACACACACACACACACACACACGTAGTTATTTTACATACATATTCTGTCTCTCTCCCTCTCACTCTCTTTTAAAGCACATTTTAGTTTCTCATTTGACAGTGATACGGGCCTCTTAGGTGTGCCAGATGTAATTAGTCTCTCTCCCTGGAAAAATTGTTCTGTCAGGGCTGGTTTTGATGTGAGTGTTCTGGGTGTTTTTTTGTGATTAATTGCAGCATAGAAGTTGCAGCTATCTATTTCCTCCAGTAGGTTAGGGGAAGGGACGTGTTTGAAGAAGTTACTATATTTGGTAGAAAAATCATAGAACAAAGTCAATCTGATGAATGAGTAGGCCAATATTTGAGTAAAATAAATGACGAAAGTTATCTTTTTTCTAACCATAAGGCTCAGAGTCGAATAAGCCAGAAATAGAGACTATGTTGCCCACTACACAGAGATAATATTGCTGATGGTAGGCAAAGTTAGGACCAATTAGACTCTTTCAGGTTAGTTGAAAGCCATTCTGTGAACAGCCGTTGAAAGTCTTTGAATACGTGCAGTTCTCTCCTATTGTAGGCGCAATCATGCACACTCCCACACGTACCTCTGGGAGTGTTTGCCTTCAGATCCTTTGATGCAGTTACAGTAGCAGGAGCAACTGGAAGCCAAGTTGACACTTCAAGTTTCTCAAGAGAGTATAAATTTCAATAGAATCGGCCGGCGCCGCGGCTCAATAGCCTAATCCTCCGCCTTGCGGCACCGACACACCAGGTTCTAGTCCTGGTTGTGGCGCCGGGTTCTGTCCCGGTTGCCCCTCTTCCAGGCCAGCTCTCTGCTATGGCCCGAGAGTGCAGTGGAGGATGGCCCAAGTACTTGGGCCCTACACCCCATGGAAGACCAGGAGAAGCACCTGGTTCCTGGCTTCGGATCAGCGAGATGCGCCGGCCGCGGCGGCCATTGGAGGGTGAACCAACGGCAAAAAGGAAGACCTTTCTCTCTGTCTCTCTCTCTCACTGTCCACTCTGCCTGTCAAAAAAAAATTTTTTTTTCAGTAGAATCTACTGAAATTTATACTCTCTGATAAATCCCACATCTAAATACTAGAGATTGTAATTTGGAGTGCTTGCATTTTAATTTGAGGGGGAGAAGTACTGTAAAATAGCGACATTCTCGTTTAACTCTTAAAGTTATGATTTTCTTAAAATGCTGTCTAAACCATCTCATACTCTTCCTCTAACAGGAAAACTTTTCAAGTTGCCATCATTTAAAGAATTGCCACAATCATTTTATTCAGTATGAGTGCCATCCTTTTTCAAAGTAACGTTTCCTGAATGTCCTATGAAACAGGTTTATAATTCCTGGAGAGAAAAGAAATCCTGGAGAGTATCTACAAATCTTCACAACCTCAGACCTTGCCCTCGTGGGTGATATTGCCATTAGCTGACTGTGAATTGAGTTGCAATGTATTTTCCTTGTTGGATTTATTAGTGCCTGCAGTCCAATTGCTTTGATTTCTGAAAGCTTAAATACACCACCAGTTCCTTCACCGTTGGGCTCTTCAGGAAGCCAGTGTTGTTGACCACGTTTACTTTATTTTTCAATGTGAAGTCAGTGAAGCACCTGCTCCAAGTGAAGCAGAGGCCACAGCTTTCGTATTCTAGTTTTAGAACATTTACAGTCAATTTTTTGTTTGACCAATTAGCTCAGAATTTGGTTGAAAGTATTTAGAAGATATCTCCTTTTTTTGGGCAAAGGTAGAATTGTCAGATAAAGCAGGTTTTTTTTTGATACATTTTTAAAAAATTGAAGATGGAGTGGGTGGTAGTGCAGCAGTTAGAGTCACCACTGGGCACTCACTGGGGTGCCGGATCCCAGTCCTGGCCACTTCACTTAGGTCCAGCTTCTTGCTAATTCACACCCTAAGGAGGCAGCAGGTGATGACTTAAGTACTTGGGCCCTTGCCATCCCCATGGGAGACCTGGAATGAGTTCTGGGCTCTGGGCTTCAGCCTGGCCCAGCTCTTTCTGCTGTAGGCATTTGGGAAGTGAACTAGCAGAACAGTAGCATGGAAGATTTTTTTTTTTTTTTTTTGACAGGCAGAGTGGACAGTGAGAGAGAGAGACAGAGAGAAAGGTCTTCCTTTTTGCTGTTGGTTCACCCTCCAATGGCCGCCGCGGCCGGTGCGCTGCAGCCGGCGCACCGCGCAGATCCAATGGCAGAAGCCAGGTACTTCTCCTGGTCTCCCATGGGGTGCAGGGCCCAAGCGCTTGAGCCATCCTCCACTGCCTTCCCTGGCCACAGCAGAGAGCTGGCCTGGAAGAGGGGCAACCGGGACAGAATCCGGTGCCCCGACCGGGACTAGAACCTGGTGTGCCGGCGCCGCAACCAGAGGATTAGCCTAGTAAGCTGCGGCGCCGGTGCATGGAAGATTTAAAAAAAATTTTTTAAAGATTTATTTATTTATTTGAAAGTCATAGTTACACACAGAGAGAAGGAGAGGCAGAGAGAGAGAGGGAGAGAGAGGTCTTCCATCCGCTGGTTCATTCCCCAACTGGCCACAACAGCCAGAGCTGGTCCAATTTGAAGTCAGGAGCCAGGACCTTCCTCCAGGTCCTTTCACATGGATGCAGGGCCCAAGGACTTGGGCCATCTTCTACTGTTCTCCCAGGCCGTAGTAGAGAGCTGGATTGGAAGTGGAGCAGCCAGGTCTTGAACTGGCGTCCATATGGGATGCTGGCGCTTCAGGCCAGGGCATTAACCTGCTGCTCCACAGTGCCGGCCCCACGCATGAAAGATTGATCTCTGTCTCTCAAATAAAATGAAAATAAATTAAAATTAAAAATTAAGAAAATGAAAAAGGCTTCAGTTTCCTTGTTCTTCCAGATAGTATCTATTAATTGAAGCTGTAACTTTTTTATTAATGCAGAAATATATTCACTAGGTATATTTGTATAATTTGGGAGTATATAGAATAACTATATAATATATATAACTATATAATATATAGAATAACTATATAATATATAACTATATAATATATAGAAAATTTCCTTAAAGTTACAAAATGTACTGCTCTTCAATTCTATCTTTTTTGTGGTGATCCTGATCATTGTGGTTTTGGTAATATCTTAGATCGTGTTACCATAATATTTTGAGTTAAAACATTTCATCATTGTAAAGTACAAGTACACATGCCTCTAAAAATCTCACAGAATGTCTAGAAGTAATAAATGGGAAATAAAATGTCAGGGACTTTTTTGAAAAGACACTGGTAATAATTTGCATCCAGGATTTCAGGAGAAGTGAGTTTAACATCTGTGGGTTATGAACAAAAATGAACTAGGTAAAATTTGATGGGTAATAGATTATGTTGAAGAGAATGACAAATATGCTTGCAATTTCCTGAAAAAGTATTTAATTGACCTCATATGTCAATGTGCTTGCCACTACTGATGATCTCTCAGTGTCCTGGTGGTAGGTAGTCTAGTCCTGAAAGGTGTACTCCAGCTTGCATGTGGAGAAAGTCACACAACCCCAGTTCACATGAACAAAATAGATGGCCAGTTCTAGGACTCCTGCTTGAGAATCATCATCTCTGAATTTTATGCTGTTTGCTGGCTCCACTGTAAAGAAATAAAGGCATTTGTATGTGGAATCATTAAGTAGATAGGCCATTTTGAATTTTCACTTATCTTCAGCAGTGTGTGAAGGATTCTGTATATTACCTTTTTTTTTTTTTTTTGACAGAGTGGACAGTGAGAGAGAGAGAGAGACAGAGAGAAAGGTCTTCCTTTTCCATTGGTTCACCCCGCAATGGCCGCTGCGGCTGGTGCGCTGTGGCCAGCGCACCGTGCTAATCCGAAGCCAGGAGCCAGGTGCTTCTCCTGGTCTCCCATGAGGGTGCAGGGCCCAAGGACCTGGGCCATCCTCCACTGCCTTCCTGGGCCACAGCAGAGAGCTGGCCTGGAAGAGGAGCAACTGGGACAGAATCCGGCGCCCTGGCTGGGATTAGAATCCGATGTGCCAGTGCCGCAGGCAAAGGATTAGCCTAGTGAGCCACGGTGCTGGCTGTATATTGCCTTTTAAATTCATCTGACTCAGAAACATAAACCTAGAATAAAAGGAGAGCAAACTAAGGTTGTAGAGCTCCTCAAATAGATTTATAATAGAAAGCCCAATTTGCTTTGGTTTCAGTCTATGTAAAAATATTGAAGGGGGTAATTTAAAAAACTTGAAAAATTCTGATGTAAACTTCTTCCTTTTTATTTGTGTATTATCTATTTTAATATGTGTACATGATTGTTGAAAAGCTTTGATAAGTAAATGACTAGGTGAACCATTCCTAGTGTGACTTACAGTCATTTGTAAAATTGAATGACTCGAGAACAATTCAGTTCATGTGCAAGTGATCTTAATACATTATGTACAATGGAAATGGGCTTTACTAGAACTTCAGTAGAGCGAATTCTGCTTCCTCATGCTTGATTGAAAAGTATTAATAAAATTTGTATCCCCAGTAAGTAAAAACTGCCAAAAATTAAAATATTTATAGGTAGAGAAATTTCTAGATGTGATCATAGAGAGTGTTAGTGATAGAACTTTGTATTCCGGCTCATTTTAGCTGGCAGTCTTGGGTTAGGGTTAGGGCTTTGCAGGTCTTAGTTCACTAATTGTATGTAAGGGACTATAGCGTTCTCTATGGAGTTCAAGTGTGGTGATTTAAAAAAATATGCTACCATTAAAGATAGGCTTCATGCTCACGCTCCTTTTAAGATTTTATTTTTGCCTTATACTTTCTAACAGTAGTAAAAAGTATGAATTATGATAATACTTTATAGTTAATTTCATTTATGCTACATGAAATGGGAAGGTGAAAAATTTGCAATCTAAGATATTTTGCTACTGAGACTATCAGTAGTACAACTTTTTCTTTGTCAAATTTATGAATCTGTGTTTCTCTCTTTTATTTCAGGCATTCCTCGCGTTATCCAGTGTAAATTTAGACTTCCCCTGAAGTTAATCTGCCTTCCAGGTCAGCCTTCAAAAACTGCAAGCCACAAACTAACTATTGATACCAACAAACCTCCAGTCAGTCTTCTCAGTCTCTTCCCAGGTAGGACTTCTGCGGGAACCTCCCTGTAACATCTGGAATGCTAAGAATTTAGAAAGGAATCCTTCATCAGCGGGTAATGATAGGGTAATTATCAGATAATTGTTATGTAAGAATATAAAAATGCCTCAAGAATTTTTTCCTTCTTGTTTGCCTCTTCAAAGGCAAATAACTTATATCAACAAAGAACACGCTGTACTTTTAAAGGTTTGATTAAAATTATTATAATCATTATTTTGCTTCAGTGTTCAGAAATAAAACATCAAATGTTTCTTTATAGACTGGACTCTTTTGGCTTGGAATGTAAATATTTATTAGCATCTTTATTGTAGGTTTTTAGATATATCCCTTTTCTAAGTATATAAATATTTATTATTCATCTTTAATGTAGTCTTCTGGAGATGTATCTTTTAAAAGTATATTCTCATGCCCCTACAAAGTAATCCCATAAATCTGTGCTCTTTGTGGTTTTGCCATCTATGCAGTTGGAAAGGGTTTGTGTTCAGTTTGTAGCTCAGAGTATGTAGAGCACCACAGTGAACGCCGAGAGTAATTTGTGATGGTCACTTTCTCCAGGTGTCTGTTTTCTTTTGATTGACTTAGAGAATAGAGAGGTTTTGATTGGTCTTTAGTAACCAAAGTTTCCACTGTGTCACATCTATTACGTTTCTTGGTGGCGGGATGGCACTAAAAGAAAAAAAAAAATCTCAGATTAAACCAGTCTTTTAAATCATTTGTTAAAAATCAGCACCATTGGCTGTGAGATGTATCCTGACCGTTCCATTAATGGATAGGATTTAGAACACAATGAGTATTGCCCACAAGATTTAGAAAATTGCAGTTGGGATGGCGCTGTGGCACAGCAGGTTAACGCCCTGGCCTGAAGCACTGGCATCCCATATGGGCGCCAGTTCAAGTCCTGGCTGCTCCACTTCCTATCCAGCTCCCTGCTATGGCCTGGGAAAGCAGTAGAAGATGTCCCAAGTACTTGGGCCCCTGCACCTGCGTGGGAGACCCAGAAGAAGCTCCTTGCTCCTGGCTTCAGATGGGCGCAATTCCTGCTGTTGTGGCCAATTGGGGAGTGAACCAGCGGACGGAAGACCTCTCTCTCTCTCTGCCTCTCCTCTCTTTGGGTAAAGCGGATGGAAGGCCTCTCTCTCTCTCTCTGCCTCTCCTCTCTTTGTGTAACTCTGACTTTCAAATAAATAAATAAATCTTTAACAAAAATAAAATGAAATTAAAAAAAGAAACTTGTGGTAAGTCAAGTTTTGAGTTATTAACTACTTTAAGTTAGAAAACTTATTGTTCATTAATTTGAAATGCTTTATTTAAATGTAACTGTTGAAAACATATGCCAAATCAAATGCCACTTATTACAACTATTCCCTTAAGTTTGAATTAAGATACATACATATATAAATCGTTAGGAATTTTTTTAACCTGTTGATTCCTTTCCTTCTGTTTTCTTCCCTTCCTTTCTTCTGTAGCCAATTTTCTTGTAACAAATTTTGATTATTAAAGGTAGAGAAGATTACTACCTTTGTAATATCTTGCATAAATTTGGCTCTGTGTGTCTCTTATACTGCTCTGTGAAAATAATTGGAATTATGTTGAACACTGAGTTTATTGGTGCCTTTGGAAAGTATTTGAGCACTTGGCCTCTTAGAAGTTGATCTTCTTTGTAGATGGGTAAAACCTAATTAGAGATTGAATAAAAACATATGTCTTTGACCAGAGAGTCAGTCTGTGAAATATGAATTGGACAGTAAGTAGTAAGGAAAGCATAGATTGTGCATTCATCTTCCTCCTGCTGTGGAGGTCAATTGTTTTGATGTCACAGATATCTACTGCTCATATGTGTATTTAATCCTGATCTGTAAATGAGGCTCAGTGACAATTTTCACAAGTTCTCCCAAGATACAATATATGTGATATATCATGTTTTTTTTTAATTCCTGGATTTGTGTTCATATTGAACATACTAGAATCATATAACTGTTTAAAATAAGTTTCATTTCATTCTTATCACATGTATGCCTTTGGTATGTTGACATTTTCATTATAAATCTTCTATGTCTACTTTCAGTTGAAAGAAGTAAATTAAAGAGCTTCACAGAGAAGAAATAAAATAACTTGTAATCTTTGGCTCTTCTATTTGTTTACTCCAGTTCTTTTTTGTGAACAAATATAGCTATATTCAAAATAGCTTTTCTTATTGTGAAAAAATGTGAAGTTTAGAAAATATGGATAACCAAAAGGAAAAAATTAAAGTTACCAGTAATTCTATCATTCAACAATATCAACTTATATTTTATTACTTTTTTCCTAATATTTTTAAAAGCGTTTTTCTAAGCATTTATATCCCCAAAGACTTTGGTTTTCATCATTATGTGTTTATTATATTTTAAATGATTGCATAGTATTCTATCATAAATGGAGACTATATTATCATCTGACCCGTATTATACTTTAGATATTTATATTGTTTTTAGTTTACTTATATTATAAACATACCTGTGATGAATAACTTTGTAACAATACTTCTCTACGCTTATTATTTCTTTGATGCATATCTAAAAGTGAAATGACTGTGTTAAAGGATAAGAATATTTTTAAGGCTTTCACATTGGAATACCTGGGTTCAATCCCTAGCTCCAACTCCTGATTCCAGCAACTTGTTAGTGCAGACCCTGGGAGGCAGCCGGTGATGGCTCAAGTAATTAGGTCCCTGTCACCCATGCGGGAGACCTGGATTGGTTCCCAGCTCCTAATTTTGCCTCCCTGTCTGTTGTTTGGAGAGTGGAGCAGTGGATCAAAGCATTGTCTTTTCATCTGTCTGTTCTCAAACACAACAAGAAAACAAAACTAATGTCAAGTTGGCTTTCTGAAGGGCAATATCAGTTAATCCTGTCAACAGTGTTTGAATGAAGATGTCTAGTATCTAAATCTGTGCCAATGTAGAATATTATAAGTGTAATTGATTTTAATATATTTAATGACTATATTAAAATATTTATTTGCATGTGAGTGCATTTGAAAACATTCATGGAGAAGGAAATAAAAAAGATCAATTTATTTTGCTGAAAAAATTGAAATCTATGCACATGCAAGACAGCCAGAAAGTTCGTGGAAAGTACATATACAAAAAAAACTATGGGTTTTAAATTTTGGCAGTCAAATAAACTTTTAGTTCTCTTTTCCATGAACTTTTGGAAGTTCATGTGTGTGTACATGCTTGTTCACTGTTCACATTTGTGTGTGTATATATACACATATATCAAACAGCTGTTTGGGGGCTTCTGATTTAAAAGTGACTTAAGCAATATAGACATAGTATCTCATATGAAGAGAAGTCCGGACATGGGCGTTATAACCTGTTGTAGTGCTTTGTGACCGTTGTTAAAGACCTCACTTTTGTCTTTGCAATCTGTCTTCTAATTGGTTCCATGGCAATAGGATATTTAGTTCAGCTTTAGGCATCTTTTATAACTACCTGGCAGGAGGTAGGGGAAGAGATGGCTGTAGTAACAGCTAAAGCTTTTATCAGAAAAGCATTTTTCCAAAAACGTCCTTGGAAATTTCTTCTTAGGTCTCGGTAGTGACGATTTTGTCACGTGCCTTCCTCTAGCCGTGTGCAGGGCCGAGAACTGATGTGGGAAGGCCAGGGAAAAGGGAGCTGGGATCAATGCTAAATTAGCTGTCAGTGCTTCTGTCATCATCCTGGTATCTTTACACAAAGCTTTTTACGTTAATAATAGATGTGTCATTTGATAGCAGTCTTTTATGTTACCCAGATATGGGACTATCTCTTCTTATCAATCTATTTGTATTTTAATTATTAGATAATATTCCATTGTTTAGGGATATCCTGTACTTGCAGTTTTTTATGCCTTTCTGTTTCTCTTAGGAGAAGTGCTTTGAAGACAAATGATTGAATTAACAAATATGCACATTTAAAAACTGTATTCCAATGACAAACTGTCTTCTGGAAAAATTTTTTCAGTTACACTCCTAACATCAGGGTTCATATCCAGGTTAACTGTAGGATTTGTTAGATCTTTTTAAGTTTATGACATTGCTAGGTGAAAATTGACTTCTCATTTTGTATTTTCACCTCTAAATTATTTGTTAGCCGTTGAATTTTTGTTATTTTTATTAACTAGTTATATTTCTTCTGTGAACATATAGTTTATGTATTTTAAGGATTTCTTTCTTTCTTTCTTTCTTCTTCATTTTTTATATTCGCTTCTGAGACAGGCAGTGAGAGAGAGACAGAAAGGTCTTCCTTATGTTGGTTCACCCCCCAAATGGTTGCTCTGGCCGGCGGTGCGCCGATCTGAAGCCAGGAGCCAGGTACTTCCTCCTGGTCTCCCATGCGGATGCAGGGCCCAAGCACTTGGGCCATCCTCCACTGCCTTCCTGGGCCACAGCAGAGAGCTGGACTGGAAGAGGGGCAACCGGGACAGAATCCGGTGCCGCGACTGGGACTAAAACCCGGGGTGCCGGCGCCACAGGCAGAGGATTAGCCTAGTGAGCCGTGGCGCTGTTCTATTTTAAGGATTTCTATTAAAATATTTATTTACTTACTGAGAGGCAGAGACACAGAGAAAATAAGAGGGAGATAGATGTAGAGAATGCCTGCTAGCCAGTTTACTTCCCAAATGCCTGCAACAGCCAAACTTAGCTGGCTGAGACTGGAGCCAAGAACTCAATTTACGTCCCCCACATTGGTGGCCAGACCCAAGTACTTGAGCCTACAGTGTTGCACAGGGTCTGCATTAGCAGGAAGATGGAGTCAGGAGTGGAAGCGGGGTTCTGAACTCAGGTACCACGATGTGGGATATGGATATCTTAAAATCATTTCAAGGGGTCGGTGCCTTGGCTTGGAGGGCTGGGCCTCCCCCTGCATTGCCAGCATCCCATATAGGCACTGGTTCATGTCCAGGCTGCTCCACTTCCAATCCAGCTCTCTGCTATGGCCTTGGAAAGCAGTAGAAGATGGC